AGGTTGGGGACCACTGGGCTGATCCACAGCGTGTATGTGCCTCCTGGATCCTGATTGGTGTCGCTGCTGCAGCCGCAAGGCACTGATTGGATGCTCACAGACCGTAATACAGCGCAGATGAACATGATTCAGACTACGGCGTTTATATGTTCAACAATAGGAAACGTAGTCTTAGCTGTTTTAAAATTACACCAAGTTTATTTCGGATTATTCCAACGGAAGAATACAAGGCGCAGGGAACTTTGAAGTGCGTAAACGCCACTTAGGGGTGCGTAAACGCTATTTATATGTGCGTAAACGCTATTTCCAAATTCCAGAGGTGCGTAAACGGCGTTTACGTGCGTTTACCCTCCACTACAGCCCTGATTGTAATAGTGCCAGAACAACTTCAAAAGCCATTGTTAGTTATGAACTGCATACAAAGGCATTTACTTACGTCATTTTATTGTCTTAAATACAACCAACTTTCACAACAATTCTGTTGACTTTATACCCTATTAGTCCGAAATGAGAATAAGGTGTTGGGTCAAGTGTGGGTCCACTTTGCTCTAAATCACTCCTTTGTTCCTCTTAACTTCACTATTACTCACTGACATGGAATTTAAAATCAATGACAACTTTAGCTGATCCCCTGAGCCAAACACTGATCTAGCATCATTAATGGGGTACTGTCGAGCGTGCTTGTTACCACAGAGCCAGACTGGACTCAACAGCGGTTGTCTCAGATTGATACTGTATTTTCAAAGACTGTTAGTATGAGTCCTGGGTGATTCATGGAATGTGAGGATAATTTGTCCATGTTCAGTAAAGCTACTTAAAATACAATAAAAAAGTGATAAAAATTGTAATAGTCCTCAAACCCAAAGTTGATGCAGTTGCTCAGAAAGACCCATAAGAGTGTTGATCCCGGGCTGTCCAGATAATGACTGCCTGTCACATCATTCTACATAGTAGTATTATTATTATTGCTTAGTGACATTTATGTGGTCTTCCTGCCAACAATAACAACAGCGCTGTCTCCTGCTGACCCTTCTGTGGAGTACTGCTGAGAATGAATACACACAAACCTCCATTCTGAAACAATCAAACCAGTTCATATAGTGGTTCTAGAAATCTATATTTAACAAGGGCCTCGCTACTAAAGTACTGTACCTTAGTGAACGCTGTTTTCTCAAACGTATCACTTCTGAAAATGTGGGCTAGATGTTGCAAGTGTGCAGAATACTAATGCATGCAAACCCCTGATGAGGTTTTGGTCTGTCGCCATTTTAAATAACCATGATATTCCAACAGATTTGTGAGTAGCTGGTACTAATTGCTTATTTATTTGAGGCATATGATAGAATATGTAAAGTTTGTATGACTAGGGGAAGAGAGTAAACTATGTGAAAATGACAGAATATCTGTTTGACAAAACAAGAAATAATAAATGAACCTGTGATCAAATGAAAGCTCTAGAATTGAACTAAAACATATGAAGCTGAACACAATAGAGGCTTGAATTACAGTAAACTAATGGATACATTCATATTAGAAGGGAGAATATACAGAGATATCGGGAGAAATATGACCACAATGACCTTTAAATGATATTTGAATAAAGCATGCTTGCTGACACATTCAATACCTTAAACTGTGTTGAAAGTGTTGATAAAGAAAATGCTGTGAAACTGAATGCTTACGAGTGTAGATATGAAAGGCTGCTTTCCTTAATCAATTGGCCTGTTAACTAAACCATCTGATTGTTTTCACCTCAAGTGACCTTTACTGAACAGTATTTAAAGCAGAAGAACACCATGAAATTCATTTCTATGACAAAAAGGTAATATCCGTCACCAGAATCAATCATCAGGGCAGACAATGTAATTTAATCCCTATTGGATCAAGAACAGCAGAAATGCGTCTTGTTGATGGCAAACCTGCTTGTCTGAAACACTCAATAAGCAGTGACTTTTAAAAGCTATCACAACCATTTAAGGACAGCAGCTAATTAGCACTGAATCTAGATCTATTTCATTAACTGCAGCTAATCTTTAAATTACCTGTCCAAAGTGATCCATGTTTGAAAACTACTGATTTGAACTTCATCAGCTTTAGATAATGTCACAATTTAAAATCAACTGGGGACATTCAGAATTTTACTACACAGGATTTCCGATATGCAATTCATTCGAAGAAAATCCATATGTAATTATGGTAAAAGCAAAGCCTGTGATTACTCTTCTCAAGATTAGTAATGAACTCTCTGTCACTCACTTTCGCATTACATTTGCATCAAGCAATGAAGTACATATGCGACCAAGACTGGATATAACTTGTGAATGAACATTTTTACTCAGAAGCAATGGGTTTTCTTTTTATCTAAACTGCTCTTTTTATTCCAGGTGCAAATAGCTGCGGTTGGATTTTTCCAAATCTCATATGAATCTCTCTTGCATTAAATGTGTTTCTGTCGAATCTTATCAGGACATATTCAAGCGTACGCATCCTTTATCCGCACTGGGACTATATTGGTTTTCTACAATGCTTCCATCAGCTGTAAACAAGAACCGTTCCCAGCAGATGAGACAGATACAATGACGATGTCGCAAAGACCCACCCACCAATCTTAAATTATGCAGTCGCTTGATTGAGCTGTTACAGAGCAGATGAAGGGAGAGGAAACAATCAAGACAACCAGGACAAAGTGAGCTGTCTGTCAGGTTTACCCTCCATCAAACAGGACATTTGGTACCTGTTACTAAGTAGCATCTGAGCAAAAGTAAACCTCCCTTGACTCAGAGGTGGTACTGAGGGCAGTCCCTCCCCTGTGATTTGCCACAGTGGGGAAGTACAGGGAAGGTAGGGGGTGGACAATCCACAGAACTGACAATAAATATCTGACAACACAGCGCATTCTGCAGCCGTCAATAACCCAACCTCAGACCTTATGAAGATTCAGTGGAATACAATATGTGATCTATGCCAAACATTTCCCAACAACCTCAAGCATGGATGTCCTTTAAAATGTGACGCAAAACAGGTTGGTAATACAAATAGTAACAGGAAATATTACTTCAAGAAAATGTTCCTTGACATATGCATTCATGTTGCAGCTCCACAAAGCCTGCTGCAAAACACATTTTAGATGTTCAATAAAACCCATCACTTTGAAAATCCTTGCCTCGTCCTCTTGAAATGTATCATAACCTCTATCGGAAATGCTATTAAAATCACATTCAACCTGCCTGAATGTGCTTTTCATAATACTTACATAACTGAATTGTACTCTGAATTGTACGCTTTCAGATCCATGTTTACCCTTTCAATATGGTTTTCTACACTAGAGTTTCCATTTGCAGAAAATAGAAAAACAACAAGCAAGTTTACTAATAAGGCAGAGCCCAGCAACAAGGTTTACTTGCTTGCCGGAGCAAGTAAACTGCCAAGTCAGGTTATTAAATTTAGCTACTCACTTCCCCAAGTGGTACAAAATGCACTTTCTGTTTTTACGGAGCTAATGATATATAGCCATAATGTTAATTTTTTAATTATGAAACTTCATTTTAATCTTGCTCACTTCTCATCTCCTTTGAGCGTTCCACATTTAGTTGGAAGAGCAAGTTGTAATTTCCGATAGAACAAGTCAAAGTAATTGGCACTGCAATTATTGATAATAAAACCAATAAATCAATATTCAAGGCTAATACATGTTGCTTTTTTCATTATCTTCATGATTCATGATGAAACGTATTAACAGTAATTAGAAGTGGCTTCTCAATGTTGAAGGAGATTCCAGAGGTTCGGATGCCGAATGTTCTTTTGTTAATTAAAAAATAGGCACCAGAATTTCTTTTGTTCTTAGAAACAGAGTGCATTTTCAAAAGCCAGGGGAAAAGAAAACCTCACTCAACAACAGTGGAACGATTGTCTGTTAGTGGGTTTGGTTGGTCGTGTTCACAAAAAAAATTAACAAAAAAACAAGCAACAAAACCACCAACAAAGAAAAACACTGGCCCACAATAAATAATGCATGACGATATAATTCTGGATATTATATTGGGAATTTCACTGTGAACCTGGGAAAGACACAAGTAGGCTTGTGCAATTTCAAATTGGTCAACTGCACAACTAAAGCGAAACAAGTCAGAAGAACCAGCACATAAATATTTATTGATTTACAGAATTCTCTAGTTACGGTACAATGGCATCAGAAAGCATACAGGCAGAGCCACTAATACATTGGGGGAACTGACAGTATGATTTTACAATAGGCATCAGTTGCAGCGAGAACATGAAGTTGAATAGCAGAAAATTAAAATCCAATATGAAAGGAAGGGAAACGGTCTGTGAATCATTTAATATTCTTTAGCAGGATTTTTTGGTAGAAGTAATTTAATGGGTTGGCAGCAGGAATAAGAAAAAACCTAGGCACCGGATTTTTCCTCTTAGTGCATAATACATCTGAGCATAACAACTTATTAGGCACCATATCAGGTTCAAGGGAAGCAAAGTGAATACCTACACCCCCAAATATCAGGAAGAGACTAAAAAAAAGCAATAAAGAGCATTAGAAGCAGGCTTGGGACCAGAAGGCCTCCAGTTTGAGTGCATAGTAGTTCTGGAAATATCTGGGTTGGGAAAAGCAAATGAGAAACATTCTCTCCCCGTCATCTACTGCTGGTGTCCTTGAACCAGGAACACATCCCCCCAGCTGCTCCACTGGAGCTGCACAGTGGCCAAATAGAGAATAAGCCTGACTGGGTGAGGTAGGCAGTTCCCTGAAGGTGTGAATCTATACATATAGGAAGCAGGTTGTATCAGAGAACCGCTGTGCATGTTCGACACATTTCTCCTGGAGAAACAAAGGTTGAAAAATGCCAAGAAAGCTTCGTTGAAGGCAGCGTATGTTAATGCTTCCCGGGCCCTCGGTGGAGATAAAAGGGCGATCCAAACATTGTTTATTGGTAAACGGCGTGCAACATAAATCATGCAGCAAGAAAATGGAGGCAATAACTCACCTTTGGCTTTGCTTTTTGTCCCAGCCACTGATAGCATGTGTGGGTGAAGGAAGGAAAGAGCAGGTTAGATAGGTAGTGCGGTATGAAGGAGTAACACAGATAGCACGATGATTATTCACTCAACTGATGCTGACAGGGACTATGAGATTAAATGTTTAGAATGTGGAAATGTAAGTAGTATAGTGGGTATGTATTTTAAACTATACCGTGTCATGACATGTTACATTTGTAGACTGCAACCACACATTGCAAGGAAACCAGGAAGTTTAGTCATATCATGAATTATTTAACCTCGACAGAAAAAATACGAATACGGCAGTATAGGGTTGTTTACACACAAGTCAGCATTAAGCAAGTAGTAACTAGAAAAGTAACTAGCAAACTGTGTAAGTCTATTCACTGATCTTTTATCAGTTAACATGGAAGATTGGGTAAACCATTGCTTTCAACATCACTTAAGAGACAGGTGGCTTTTTCTCTCTCACGTGTTACTGGTTACATAAAGAAAGATGCTTCACTGCTTCATTGTCTCTTAGGCCCTTATTTAGACGTAATGAGGCCACAATGCTGTTCCAAAAGGCTTCAGACTAGAGGAGATTAACAATAGATTTGCCAGTAAGAATTTGAGGAGGACTCATTGCATGAACAACAAAATGAGCACTGAATGCTAATCAGAAGGAGAACTGTGTGCCCAACACAAGACAAAGCACCACACACCATAGAAAAGGCTCAGTTCCAGACACGTGCCCCCACCCCACCCTCCCCCCAACTTACTAAACTACAGCACCATGTCTGTGGTGATGAGAACGCCGTTGAGATAGAGGAGTCTAGAGGAAGAGGATAAACGTGTAAAAAAATATCATGGAATAGATTTACAAGTCACATCTGATTTATCAGGGATGTTTTTTTGCTGGCGGGATCTGTTGTTAAAAGGATTACTCTTTTTTAAGCTAATTTGTATGCTTTTTTTGCTCCATGCATCCTTGAGTGTCCATTCAGCTGCAATAACATGCTGATGAAAAAAGATTTTAGCATTTTCTGTCAGAATATTTTTACGTATTTTAAATAATTTGGGCGACATTGCATTTTTTTCTTTTTCTGAATGTCCTGTGCTAACAGTGGTGTATGTGAAGCTGTATTACATTTTCGACCAAAATGTACAGCGCTGTTTCCTGTGGACGCAGAGGTTGACTAACAGGAGCAATTTTCAGCTCCACTTGTAGTATTTACCTCTCTTTATCTAAATACAATCAATGATATTTTAGTGCTCTACCAGTAATGTGTCATTAACCTTTTGGGGTGTTAGATATATTCTTGTTTGTAATGATTTTCAGAATGCAATATTGATAACCTGGACTTTGAAAAGGAGCAAAATCATTTACAGTTTCAAACAACAACAGCATTAGAATATTAGGGAATCTGAGGCAGTGCAAGGTAAAACTAGTGACATTTATTCAGTTATTAGCTTGGCCATGGAAGAACAGTTACACTTCATCCCTTAAAACCTTGAGATTTTTGTAGCTACTTGTATGTCTCATTTTGTGAAGAATTAGTGCTGATTGCTAAACAATCCTCATTAGATAATTTATAACTTTGTGTTAATAGTGTTATAGTGTTGTGGTAAGTACTATGATGGCCTATATCAGTATTGTACTGAAACAAACAAGTCTTCAATACAACAAATTCTGCTTCACTGCCTTGTCGATGAGATAAATGACCAGAGTATGAAAGATTTTGGAATTTTGGTTTAAAATAAAAATAATCTTTTTGAAATAGCATGATATGCCCAGATATGATGCAAAATATCACACCTCTAATAATCTCTTATGACATTGATTAGTGGTTGAGACAAATGGAAAGAAAAAGAGGTGCAGGATAAACACCTCACCAGACGGAGGAGTGCAGTATGTGCCGGAACAAAACAATGAAATGGATGATAGCATATCAATGATAATGAGATAAGATAGTAATGAGAGCGAGAGCAACACAACGAGGTAGAAAGATGGGATTTCGGCCAGTTCGGCCACCAGAGGCACATATTTGGAACACTCTGCTTGTTAGCTGTAGTTGCGTTGTGTTCAACATGCGACAGAATGAAGTCCATTCATTCGCCTATTTTGTGTGAGGATGCCGGCCTGTAACAAAGCAATATTCTCTTGTCCCTGTGGTGATTAGTTTAACCGACCACAGAGAGGTTTGTCCTCCAACACAGGGAGAGGCAGCCTCTGTCCCTCAGCTGGCCATCACAGGGGTCACTGGTCTCCCTCTGCCACAGTCATACAGTCAAATCTCCTGGGACAACGTGACTGTAAGCAAACCTTTGACAAGGAAGCAATTTATCATATGGAGCTCTTACAAAGACACTCGCACAGGTGTCATCACAAGGCCAAAGTTACTGAAGATAACTGAAATGTTGGGTTTCAAAAAGAGAAAACATCAGAAATTATGAACCGTGAAGCATGTTTTTAATTTGAATCATATTGTTGAGGGCCCCATAGTACTGATTATTATCACTTTATATATATTTTTTTTAATACATGAAAATGCCGATCATAAGTCTCTATACCTAAAATGTAAAAAATGTTTTAATTGCAACAAGCAAGAGGTTATGAAAATAAATGTTGATGAATGACTGAAATAATTGAATTAATTTACTCATCATGACAGCATTAGTTTGATGCTACACTTCTTACAAACCCATAGTGCACACAGGGGATTTGATTGTGCAAATATGGATAATCTGTAGACTCTCATTTAAAGAAATGTAAGTGTTGCATTCTAGTTGATGACAGAGGAGAGAACAACAGTGTAACGTAAAAGAAAATCTGCCCTTGTGCAGAGCTTTTATTTAAAGCTATGTTTTTATTTTTGAGTGGGAGGATTACAGCAACAATCTTATTGTTATTGGAAGTCAAAACTTTCGACGTGCCATCTAATCAACGTGAAATAAAACAGATGTCAAAGTTCAAAAGCTGTGTTATCCTCTCACCTTCGTCCAGAGTTATGTTAATCATTAAATGTTTTGGTGGATTATTGATTAGGTTGAGTTATAAGAAATGGTCAGTGCCTTCTGCTTTTTACTGAAATAATACCAAATGAAGAACTTGCTTAAAAAGGGCCAAATCCTCCACGACCGGCAAAGACTCCATTCAGAGCAACACAACGATGCTCTCCTCTCCTCTCCCATGGATGCTGCTGGTCCAATGGAAACACCCCAATTTAAACAGACTTCTAGAGCACTTGGAAAGGCAGCATAATAATATGGTACCTCCTGACAACACCCTAAAACAATTGTTTCTTCCATTTTCTCATCTTGTCTCTGCTGTGTGTCTATCGGAGCCATTCATGGAACAAAAGCTTGTCCATCATGTTAAAGCAACTCAAACATGGGAGGGGGAGCCTGAGTATTGAAAAAAACCCTGTTTCTGCACTACTGTGTCATGTTCTGGCCATTGTGTGCTGAATAAGACTTATTCATCTTTTTATGTCACACTGGTATTTGTATACATAAATGCAATACACATTCCCTGTAGATAGAGGGTGTGAGTAAAACCTAAACTGCACTAAATTCAAGATACAAGGTTTACTTCCACTTGCTTGTTGGTATCAGGTATGATTTTAAAACAGCACAATGGTGCTTCTTTAAAATACAGCAATACTAAATTCAATGGGGGCTAAACTACTTTCACATAATTTCGCAGGTGAAGAAAGATTATATGAATGTTAAAATACACAGGTTATCATCTAAAAATAGACTTTTGCCAAAGTGTGAAAAATGCAAACTTGCAAACGATGCAAATGTAACAGGCCTTCTGGTTAAACGGTTTGTCAGAAAGTAAAGAGACCAATTTTAACCAACTAGAAATATGAGGGCAGAGAAGGAAACTCAGGAATATTGATATGCAAATATAACAAAAGTCAAATGTAGGTCTCTTGCAAATTCTCCTGAAACTACTCCAACAATTTATACAGATTATTAGCACAAATAGCACGTGTACAAGTACACTAGACAATAAAACCCTGTGGTAGTCACAATAAGGGAAACCCACCAAACAAAGGCAGCCACAGTACTTGCAGTTCCTCTATCACTCAGCATTACCTCCAACATGGTTTGTGGTCTGCACACCACGGGGGACATGACAGCATGCTATGAGGCTACGCTTTAGTCCAGCTGAGCTGTATTTGATATAAACATAGATGTTTCAAAGTGATTTCGAGGGTACCCATCACAAAAAATCAAATTTTCTTGTGTTGCAAAAAGCTGCCTGACATAATGCGGCTGCACTAAGGCGTTGCAGAAGCCCCGTGCATGCAGATGAAGGTCCCTGCTTAAGGCAATCCAGGACTCAACCGAAGTCTTTATCTGCCAACCACCAGGATACTGGCTTCTCTCTTCTGGCTACAGTCTAGCGCGATGTGGACATTGTCATAAGTCAGTCCAGTGAAAAGGGGAAATGTTTTATTGCAAACCCTAATTTTACAACCAACATGGAACCAAAAAGGTTTAAATGAGAAACACCCTTTATACTTTAACATTTTTGTTGTGATGAAACAATAATATTCCAATCCCTTCTGAGATGAGAATTTATCATTTCTTCCTTTATACAATTTACCTGGATTTATACTTTGACTGAGGCGCTGCACAGAACATTTGTTTTAGCTAATAAGTTGATGCTGTCTGAACTGGACCGTAAAGTGGCATTAAACTGGGGGATTTGGTGAAAGTACAATACTTTTTCCAATGTTGCAAAAAGTATACTCAATGACTATAATTGGACAAAATGGGTTTTTTTGTGTCAGAAGGAATTGGTTCCCCAGGACACATTTATTTTCAAAATGTAAGCTAGTACTTAGGCAAGCAATCTTAAGAGTGATGTGTTGAACAGCAGGAGGGAGTGACAAGTGCAAACAAGCTGTACTTTGCTGTGTTACATCTTCTCATCACTTTGTGCTATTCTGGATATATTGTTTACATGAAGTAAAAAGACTGTGTGACACCTGGCAGTTAGTTTGGGCACACTTCAAAG